GTAGCCTCATTGTGGAGGTTCTTCAGAAAATACAATACCAATAGCAACTAGGTGGGAAGAATTTTTTTAAAAATACCGTACAAAGTTTAGAATAATACACGTCTTATTTATTAATGCACTTGAAAATAACAGTATTACAGAGCAGATGGTTGAATGGGGATGACTTACCTAGAAATGGGAGATGTGGTTCCTACCCCTATAGCTGTCTGACCTACATCTCTCTTGGTGGTTCTTGTCACCTGCTGCTTTTAGCTGTTCACAGAAGAACGGCTAAGCCACTGAGGTTTATAGCTCAGCATACTGAAGTAACCTGAAATCAGTGCCAGTTTAAAGCCAGTTGTGAATTTTAGTGCTTAGTAAACTCAAAGCAGTTTCAGTCATAACCTAAAGCAATCAAGTATAGAAAAAATTAAATATTGCATGTTGCTATGCAGACACAAATCCTGCATGATGGTATGCTGTAATTGAGATCACAGCTAGATTTTTGACAAAGCAACATCAAAAGCTACATTTAGACACCTGAACTGATTCTCCTTCAAGAACTGGCTTTTTCTCAACTTCTGCATATATAGAGTTGCCCTCAGTTCCTTCAGACCACTAAACGTTAGCAAGCTTAAGAATGGCTTCATGTCCTCAGGGTTCCCCGTCATTGTTTTTTCCTTTTCTGGGCCTAGCCTGTTTCTGCAAGCTGGCATAGTGGGCCTGTCTTCCATATAGTTCTCCTGTTTCTATCAGTTTCCTTGCCCAGGGGTTGAGCAAAGAGGTTAGCAGTTTCCATGCATAAATTAAATATTACTTGATGATGTGCAGTCATCAAGGGTGCTCCTGCCCTGAGCTTTACAGATTCTGTATTCAGTGCAGCCAATTCAAATTTCCAAACTCTTTTACTCTCTCTGATTAAGAAATCTAGAGAAAAGACTGCCTCAATGCAGAAGATGTCTGCCGGGGTTAAATCACAGATATAGTATTATGATCTTCTTGATATTCAGCTCAAAGACCTTGGACATTTAACTAAATTGAAGAGAGATTCCACAGGATATGTTGGCAGCATTCCCATCATAAAGCCCACTATACATGTTCAGTAGTTATCCCCTGTGTTGACCTGTCAGTATATCTCAGGTCAGCCCATCAGTTTTTCAAATTATATGCCTCAAAAGACCTTCCATTAAGTCAATGTTGCTTGCTAATCTGTTTTTTGTGGGAACCACAATTCTTGTTGGAGAAAATAGGCATTGTAAGATGATGATCTCTTTGGAATTGAGCTCGTATATGTAGATCTGCTCAAAATATGGACTGGTACAAACAAATATTTCAAAGGACCAGCGTTATGATACTAAATGCTTACTGCCTGTCTAGAAGTGCTGAACACCTAGAATTTCGCTGAATTCAAAGTGGACTGCAGGAGGCCTGCATATCTGGAGATTAGGTGCTAAGCTATAGACATTTTTGTATTTGAAAAAATTTGGCTCAAATTTATGGAGAAAGGCTTGGAAATATCTTTAAGCACCAGGTAAGAAAGCAAAGGCAGCCACAGAAGAGTCAACAGACTCACTGTCAGCCAAAGAGTAATTATTGGGACAGTGCCAGAGTTAAAGATGAGATGCAAAGAAAGAGGTAGTCATGAATGGTGCTCTGTAAAAAACAAAAAAGAAAAAAAACCCCTTTCATTACCCTGAGTATTCTAAACCTGAAAAATTAGGAAATTAAAATATAGTGTAACTGCACTGATGAACAGAACGGGGCTTATTCCAATTACTTGTGCAGTTTTTGAAAATGAAAATATGTTTGATGTTATTCAAGTTAACAGCACATATTTGCCAATAGGTTTTTTTTTTAACCAATAGATCAAACTGTAGTCTGAGTTTATTAGAAGTCCAGGATTAAAATATCATGGGTAGAATAAATTACATTTCAGTTGGATTAGCAGAGCTGCACGAATAAGGGATGCCCATCAATTTACTTTGTGCCCACGTTTTTGTAGCCAGAATCAGACATCCTTTCTTAGATTTATTATTTTTGTCATAGATTTAGAGATTTCACTTACCCCAAAAAAGTCACATACTTTTAGCGGTTCTCAACCATGTCTACTTCTTTAATTGTCTTTGTCAAACTACATTCTCCTTGTTTTGCTTCAAAACTGTTTCTTTGTCATTAAAGACAGGGTTTCTTCTCTTCAAAAAGAGCGTAGAAAGCTGGTGACTTGTATTTTGCAAGTGGATGCAGTTTTTTCAAGGCGCTATGATTTAAAAATGTTTTTGCTGAATTAATTAATAAAGGTTATGTCAGCTAGTATTGTTAATATGCAGTGATCAATCTGCTGTGCTGAACCAAGAAATTTATTTTTAAAAAATTAAATAGTTTTGGCACTTCAAATGAATCTTCTTGATTGTAAGTTTTAACATTTTAATTCTTTTTTTTAATAGGATTTCCTTTCACCCTTAGACTTCTTAACCATCAAAATTCTGTAGCTGTGTGTTTTATCATACAGTTCTCCTATCCTATTTTGCCTTCCTAATAGCAGCATTAGTTCCTCTATCAAGCCCTTTTTTCCCTCACTCAAGATATGAGCAACTTGAGTGACAGCTAGTTAGCATTAAGAAACAAGAGTGAAGCCAGTCTTCGTGCGCTTGTATCTTGCATGGTTATGCAGAACAAGGTTAATACCCTTTAAAATAACCATGCTTGTCTTCATTTCTAAACATAAAATGTTCTTAGTTTCCTGTTGCGTCGTGATCTGAGAGGAGCATCGTAAAGAATGTAATGCTCTTTCATGTCCAAATCGGAAGAACATCCGATCAGATGGGATTCAGTCAAACCAGCCTCGTGAAGAGGTGTGGTGGTTTTTTCATTTGCTCTGTTTTTGATTTTTTCTTTTCTAAATTGCTGTTGGATTTAAGAACGTCCATCTGATCCTGACAATTTTACCTTTCCCCAGAGATAAAAGCAATGAGGCATGTGCTGCTTGCCTTTTGGATTGCAACTTTATTTATGTACAGAACATGCTGATCAGAAATCTCTTGCATAGGCATGGCGTTTGTCAGTTCCCCAAAGGACATCCCTTCCCTTCCCCATGTGCTGATAAGTATTCTGTCTTTTACTTTGATCCTCTGATGAAACGTGCATGCTTCATCTTCTACTTGTGAGTGATGTTTCTTTCTCTTTTTTCTCTCTCCTTGTCTTAATTTCCTGGTTTCTCTCTCTTTCCTTTCCTTTTATTCTCTCCCCTTTCTTTCTGATGCAGAGATGAAGATAGTTGGGTGTAAGTTTCTGCTTTTCTGTGTAATGTCTGCTTATTGCTTGCTTTTTCTCATCTTCACGGTTTTTTCATGGAATGTTGGGGATTGTTAAAGGTAACAAGTCATAATGTTATAGGGAAACTTTGATAAGAGAGGCAGATATGGTGTCTTGGCGGGCTCCATACCAAAGTGTTTCAGAAAGATTTACTAGAGATGACAGATGAATCAGTACCGGATGTGAGAAACATTTGAGCCTCAATTCTGTCAGTGATCACCAAGTCATGGCAAAAAAGAAAAAAAAGAATGGGACATGGCAAAACTTATTCGCTCTTTTTCAGAATGTTTATGGCAAGAGAATTGGCAAGACCAGAAGACATCATTATTTAACAGTTCTCCTGAAAAAGCATACACAAGGAGAATGAATATTAATTTTTTGGTTGTTATTAAACTTGCAGAAAATAGGAATAAAAATGTTAAGCTGGAGTAGATACTATGTTTAAGTTAACATGTTTCAGGGGAATATTTGAATTTGTAAAATGTGTTACATTAATTCTTTCTATACCTAGAAGTCCAAAAAAGGATAGCAAGTGGTCTCGTATTATTTGTTTCTTTTCCTCACTCTCTTAATCAGTGGAACTGAAATAATTTGAATGTTCGGTTCACCAAAAGAGGATCACACAGTGTTAAACTAACATAATAGTCTCTCTATAGGGTGGAAAAAAAGTTAATTTGATTTGCAATACAGGCAATAGATTAAAGTTTTATTTCTTGTTACTCCTGTAATATTATTCTCAATAACGTTAAGAGTTGCATGCCATATCCATTTCAAGAATATAGACCTTGAAAAAAATTAGCGACTTACTGGTGGATGAGCAGATGAATAAACTGTTAAAATGGAGTTAACGTGATTGCAAGAGATTGTCTGACCATACCAGGCTTCTTATTTATAGTATACGCGTTGTTTTTACATGAATGTCAAAGGCCACTTCACTGTTACAGCAAGGGAAGATCATGTAAATGAGAGGCCTGGCACCTCTTCAGAGGTGATCAAGAACAAGACCAATCAGCCAAAAGGCCGTGAAGATTTTACTTATTTGCTGGACTGACTCTCCTAGAGGGTCAAACCCTTAGTGGCTTAAGTTGCTAATACTTTATTGAAGTCAGTGGGGTGTTGCTAATTTAGTCTAGTTATGGTGGGGAATATTCATTTTTAGATGCATTAGAAATGTATGATCTTGTTTTTTCTTCATAAGCCATTGCGCAAGATATTCTGGCTGTCCTCCTTGCCCATTCACGCTCTAGGAGTAATTGGCATTCTTCCGTAAAATGCCAGCATTTTTCTAAAAGATGCTAAACCCAGTGATTTCAGAGGGAGTTGAGAACACTTAGTATCTCACAGTGTTGGGCCCTAATAGGACCATTTAACCAATTTATCAAACATATACATCAAGTGTTGATTTGTATAGATAGATAGATTATTCCTGATATCCTTTGCTTCTTAAATTGTAAATACTAGACTTTCAGTGAAGGGGGGGAAAAAAGATAATTCACTGGATGAATACTGTTACTTTACTCAGTTACTTCTAAATACTCTTGAAACTAGACCTAGATCTAGTCACTAGATTGTGACTGCCATTATTCCCAAGCCTATAGGAATATATTGAATTTCCTCTAAAAGGGCACAAAGTTGCAGAATGTTGACCTCCTAGAAAACAAATTTGCTACAATCAAGATGTCAGAGATCTCTTTGCCCTGTATGACCTTAAAGAACTGATGTAACCTGTTTTTGACACAGCATGCACTTCTATAAAAGAGGGATCATTCCTGCCCTCAGTGTACAGAATCTTTTGGGATCGCTCCATAAGAAGTAGTATAGAAGTACAGACTGTTATTGTAAATTGTTATTATTTTGTGGTCCAAGTAACTAGTTAGTCTCCTAGTCAAGAACCTCCAATTTTATTAGTATAAATCTCCTACTCGTTCTAATAGTTCCTAGGCAGTAAGTTGCCGTTGGACTACTTAATGCTGTTAAGTCTTGAAAACAATAGGTAAGTATTTGAATTTTTTGAAAGCCTTCCAGTGCATTTGTTTATATCATAAACACAACTTCAATATATGCTATGTATAGCCTTTCCTGCTGCTCATTTTTTTCCCTATTACCCTTAAAATCATTTCAGGTAGTATGAGAAAGGATTTTATTTCAATATAAGCAAAACTTCCAAAGCTAACTAGATTCTGTAATTTAATCAAGAATAGTATTTTTGACAGAAGGCTTTGTAAACAGGTTTTAAAAAAAAAAAGAACCCAAAGCAAAACCCCCATGAAGGTGAAGGGACGGTAAAGAAAGGTCTGCACAAAACACCAGAAAATCATCCTTTTTTGTGTGTGAAAAATACTAGATATCAAGTCTTTTGGTACAGAATGAATTTCAGTAACTGTGTAGGTAAAAACTGCCTGCATTTTATACCAAAAGGCAGCTTACATTTAGTTTTAAAAGTGAAAACAATTGTTGCGAGATGGGCTTTCAAGCAAATGTCGTTTTGAAAACTCTTACTCCCTGTTTCAGCTCGTCCTTGACAACCACCTAACAGGAAGAAACCTCAGCTTAAAATGTCATCTGCAGGTTTTAATCTATAAATACTTTTGGCCCAGTGGCCTTGTAGCACCTTTTTTTTTACTCCAGTACTAATGATAGGAGGCCCCAGCTAAGCCAGTTTTACAGTCTGCCCCGTTCTCCTCCTGACGATGTGAGAGGCCTGTACGGTTCACGTTGCTGTACCGCGCTGTGCTGTTTTCAAAACAAGAGATTGGAGTTACCGTCACTTCAGAGCCAGCGCTGCTGGCCACCCAAGGGGGCCGAGCGATCTGGTTTGTTGAACAAGTCCTATGTTTACCTCTTTTCTTTTTGGAATGGAGTTAGGAGCAAGGAAAGTTACGTCTGCCTGCGTTGCCTGTTTGTGCACTCAGGTGTTGTTGAGTAGGACGTTCGCTCCAGCGTTGCAGTTTGCAAACCTGAAAATAACGTTTTTAGTAAGCTGCTGCTTGTCCAAACATGGGTTCTGTCTGGCACTTTAGTGTATCTGGGCTCAAAAACCTCCTGGTGACTATAGCAGTCTCATAAAAAAATGATTTACAAGGGACTTGGCAAGAGAGGGTGGTCAACTAATATATTAGGAAAAGGAGATACTTCTTCATAGTAACATTATTTTCACTGTTTTACACCAATTAAGTGCTTGAGTTCTTAGTTTTAACTCCAGGAAGTGATGGGCTCAGTATCTGGTAAGAGCCAAGTGGTTTCTCTCTTTGCTAGATACATTTACTTTCGTTTTTTAATTATGGGTAATGACCTTTCCTATTTTTTTAAAATTCTATTGAAAGTATTTTTACAAGAGAAGACAGACCACAACACTTCACTGAATTGCTTTTTCCCTTCCTTTTTTCTTCATTTTGATGCAAATCAGCTGTTATCTTGGTCCCTCTACCCCTCAACCCCAAAGGCATTTTTTCAATTAGTGAAGTAATATCCCTCCTGTAAAGCTTAATGGAAAATCACATGCTATATATACACCAAATGCAGCTGTTAATTTAGGCTAGAAAATGATTCATAATCTGACATTCGACTTTATGCAGTCAGATCATCTTCAGGAAAAGAGGTCATAAATGAGAAGCTCCTAAATGCTAATTATAGTGAGTACAATTAATTTCTACAAGAGTTACAGCGTATAAATTGAGAACTTTTTTTCTTCCTCGTTGTGCAGACTGCTGAGAAAAAGGATGGAGTCTGTTAAGCGAGAGGAGTTTCAAAAACAAAGCCCCTGCTTTTCCTTTTGTCCTGACTTTCGCAGATCCTTGATGTTCCTATAATCAGCATATAGGTAGCTTAGCTCTCCTTTTCAACAAGAGACCTGAACGGAGGCTTTTTTCTGTTATTGTGGACTGTGGAGTGGTACATTCAATCACTATGCTTTGATGAGAAAAAAAAGAAATAACAACAGCTATTCCAGGGCTTTTACCAGCCTCTTGCTGTCCTCTTTTCTTATTAATGAACCGTAGCATTTTCTGACCTCTAACTGAGATGTTTCAAGCCGTCACCTCTGCACAAATCTGCGGTGGGGGCTGACGGCATGAGGAGGACATTTTACATACAGGTTCCCATTTATAAACAGGTCCCAGCAGAAAGCATTGAATGTCAGCTACAGAGCTATATTTTCCATGCTTAAAAAGTTTTACTTATCTCCAGAAGAAAAAAAAGGGAAGCAAAGATAGGACTGAAGAGCTCTGTGGTTTGTCCCTGCAGTAGATTAAGGAACAAATTCTGTGCGGATATAGACTACAAGAAAGATGTGAAGTCCATCTTTGGCAGACACAAAAGGATTTCCCTCGCTGCCTGAAAGCAAATGCTGCCTCTTTCATTGTGCTTCTGATTAATAAACAGATTTAAATGCATCAGCTGCTCCAAGTACTGGAGTGGAAGAAATTGGACTTTCAAAGAGTCTGCTTTGCTGGATGACCATTCCATTACTCATTATTTAGTCTCTTCAGGCCACAAAATATTTTCCTTGAAAAGACTGAGTTTTTGTTTCAATTTTATGTATTTTTCTATATTGCCATTTAATATGTTTGCCTATGTGGCAAATTAAAAAAAAAAAAAAAGTGGCAATTGAACCGCCATGAAGTGGCAACAGTAACTGAATCTTACAGAAAAGTAGGTGCGACATGTTATCCTTTTGGTGCATGCTTAGATTTGACTGCATTAGTTTTGAGGGCAGGGTTTCCCAAACCAGATTAAAAAAAAAAAAAAAAAGCTAGAATCTGTCAAATTCAGGACAATAAGGAGATGAGAGAGATGCTAGCATTTTTATTTCTGAAGACAGTTGTTTGCTCTGAAAGCTCTTGAAAAGGAGGCAAAGAGAAATTGGCACATATCCGTACTGCCCACTTTATTGCCTGCATGCATATGGGCACCAGGGGCTAGCCAGAAATCTAGTAGAAAATAATTTAGTAATTCCCTCTTACTCCACCTGAACTGCATTACAGATAAGTCTTCAAAGCAGGTTGCTTTTTTGTTATAATGATAACAAGAAAATATTTGCTGCTTGAGGAAGAGTTAACTGAACTTAGTTTTCTACCAGTCACCACAAAAACATTCATTTGTTTTGAAGTATATTGAAAATAAGAAATCAGATGTTAGTGCTGTTTTGTTGGGCTTAGGCTGAGGCTTCCAAATCAGATAACTAGTCAAAGCAATGTAAGACTTTTTTCCCCTTCCCTGCTCACACACAATAAAGCAGGTATTGATTCTGAGTTCACACTTTAAAAAAGGCATTACTAACAACTGTCTGATTTAATGCATTGATGTTAAAATGTCCATCTTTATTAACAATTAACTTGCTGCTTGGAATGGTTTGGGCTTGCGGAAACAGAGAAAGCAATTTTCAGAATGAAAATACGCCGCGCACAGGCACCGAATCTTCGATATTGAATTCAGACACATGACTCCACTATTTTCCTGTAGGTGATATACGCAATGACTTATACCTTACATTAGAAAAGGGAGACTTTGAGAGAGGAGGGAAGAGCG